TATGTATAAAACCAAATTTTCCAACCTTTGATGAATGTAAAAAACAAAGCAACGTGCCAGGAGTAGAAAAAGGAGGGATGGACCCAGATTGTATTGAATCTGGCACCAAGTACTGCCATTGAAAGAAATCAAGAGTATGCATTGCATATCCCACCAAATTTGTTTGGATGTGTAGCTGGGATCATACAACAAGGATCGTCAATTTAAAGGGACAAATCTGAGCATGTCTGCCTACAGCCAAAAGACAAAAAAATTGGCATCACCAGGAGGGAGGGAAAAAAAGGCATGTACCATAACATGCACTGTCTGACTTTTTTCTCCCAGATTTCAACCGAGAGAGACAGCAAATCTGGAAAGGAAATGCAAAGTGAGAAAAATAACTTATTTAATACTCCTAGATTTTTTTGCACATCTTTAAAAATGTTCTCAAAACCCAAGACACAAATTGCACTGAGACACATGCCTCTACTCTTAGTCCCTCCATTCAGACTCATCTTCCACCTCCACCCTCTTGCCCCAAAAGAAAAAATGTATCTGAAATAGCTTGAAAACTCTTAGAGCATTTGATTTCCTGTCATTTTAGAAAATGACGTTAGAGGTCTTATGGAGACTTCCTACACAATTTTTTTCTTTTTTCTTTTTTTAAAAACAAACTTAATTAAAAACTTACCCTATAAAAGAAAGCAGCTGTAAATTCTGAACCTGACCATCAGCAAACTTGCCCACCTTTGTAATTTCCTAACTGCATTTGCTGCCTTGGTGTGATTACCTACGGAAACGCAATCACACAGGCAGTTGCCCCTTAAACCCTCTGGTCAAATCCAACCAAGTTTGACAAGAGACATGGAAGTCTCAGAGCTAAGATGTTCCTGCAAATTCAGAGAAAGCAAGCAGCTGGATACAGGACCCAAAGTGAGCACTTGGCATCCTGCACTCACAGCCTTTCGCAGCTGCCTGCCCAGCCCAGGACTGGGCTTGAGATGAATCTGGGAGAAATTCACATCTTTAAACCAGGCCTGTCCCCTCTTCCAGATCACTGCTGCCAAGGTGAACTGATCTGAAATGCTGGGAGAAGTTACCAGCATGATCTGGAGTCATAAATTAACTTTCTCTCCCAATTCTCAATTTTGTTTGAGCAGCCTGGAAGCAGAGGGCTTGCTCCACTGGAAGAAAACAGTTTTGTTTCAGTGCACAAAGATGTGAATGGATGACAACACCCCTTCATGATGCTACACCATGGCTGAAAGCCTCACCAGCCACTCTTCTCTGCCCTGCAGCTTGGGAGAGAGGCCCCAAAGAAGCTCCCTGATGTGAGCTTTGTAGAGGCTCACAAGCACTCAGATGCACAGCAGGAATTGGGACTTGCCATGGAGTGCTCCAAGCTCACCTCCTCTCCAAAACCTCACTGACAGCCAGAGCTTTCAGCCAAGCACATGTTCCTTTGGAAAAGGGACTCAGCCCAGGGGCTTTGAGCTAGTGCAGCCCATCGAGGGTCCTGGAGGTAAAAGACTCCAGTGTTAACTCATCACTGCCTACCTGCCACCCCACAGGGGCAACAGCTCAGGGCAACTGCAAGGCACAGGGAGGAACAGAGGCATCAGAGCCACCAGCACAGCTCTTCTGGGCACAGCCCCCTCCTCTATAACTGAATTGCTTTTTTCCCCCCACCACTGGTGTACTTTATTTTATGCCAGATGGAGACCACCAACCCACCAGGAGCCTGCCTCACATACTGAGAACATACAGCCAGTGACATCCAGTCCCCCAGGACTGGTGCTTGGTGGGCATCCACAGCAGCAAAACCAACCAAGCACTTTCAGCAGAAACCCCAGGCTGGTTTCCAGCTTATTTCACAGAGAATTGTACCACCAAAGTCCATTTTTGTGAAAATGTATCCTCAGAATAACAAACACCATCAGTGCTTTCAAATTCTGGGTTCCAAACTAATTCCCTGAGCCAGAAGTGTCATTAGCTTGTCAGCCTTACAAAGGCAGCTCACTGCTGATCGCTTTTAACTGAACTAATCTCAGCCTGAAAGCTTCAGGAATCTAAATAACTCTTGTTCCACAGAAGTTTCATTTCATTCTCATGTTGAAAATAATATACATAAACCAAGCTCATGTCTACACATTTGCACAACTTTATAATAAAAGTTGTGTTTATATTCTTAACATCTGTTGACATACACAGATTTTGTAAACCTGGCATAGATTTTGAAGCCACAGAATTTTCCATGCATCATGGACACTATCTGCAAGAAGCAATAAAAAAAAAAAAGCAATGAATACATTAATCATACCAATATCATCTGCAAAACATAAATTTGAAATACCTTTCATGTCAGCTCAACTACTTTTTTTTGTGTGTGTGTGTGTATTTTTTTGGGTAATTTTTTTGGGTGATTTTTTTTTTCCACACCTGATTTTACACCATCTGTAAAAGGGCAGCAAGAAGATCACTGAGGAAATGACATTTCTCAGTCCTTTGATTTTTACTCAACGCTTTAAATCCTGTAAATACAATATTTATTACATTAAATGAAAGCAGTTGTACCTACAAACTCTATTTTTTCATTACATGACTAAATTCTCCCAAAGTACAAGGCAGGTATAACTCCATTTTTGTCATTTGTTTCCTAGTTGTAGTAAAAACAGTGTGTACTAATAGTCATTATAAATACAAGTATATGTGCATATTTTAATAAAATTAAGCATACATGCATAATTTAAATTTATTTTCAGCTTTAACTTATCGAAAGGCAAATACCTGCTCTCTCATACCAGCTAAGGATCTAATGCCCTTGGGATCTGCATGTTGAGCCTGTCCTGGACTACAAGGACAGGAATGATTTCTGCCCTCTGCAACAGCAAAGGGGACACTGCAGTAACTCCATAAAAATCAACAGGTGAAATTCTGCCCTCAGATATTTACATCTACACTTGACTCAACCAGAGCTGCCCAGAGCACCCACCTGCAAGGCTTTTTCTCCCAGCTAGGGGCAGAAATTTCATTTTGAAGCCAACCCCCAGCCTCTGCTCTAATTTCTGCCTTACATCCATGAAAGCAGCTAAGAATGGAAGGCCCTTAGGTTCTTATATCTCCCAAAAATTTCTCTCTTATATCTCCCAAAAAATTGAAGTGGCACTTTTTAAAGTACTCTTCCCATGACTACAGATACTGTAAGTATTGACATATAGTTCACCATTTACCAACAAGCTAATTTAAATATACTCAACTTTCTATACTGGTATGTACTCCATCCACCTTTAAGTCAGGAAGACAGTATGGATATCTGCCTAAGCTAGTAGTTAAGATAAGTCCACACTGTCAAAAAAAAATAAAACTTTGTAAATTTTTGTCAAAACAATACATTTTCTAGCTATCTGCTGGTGCAGGACACTGATCTGTCTCCTCACCTGTCTGTTGGCAGACAGAGACTGTCTAAATCCATCTGATCAAACTGAGTTACTCATTTACAGTGGGCAAAACCACTTTTTAAATAACTTTGAGGGCAACTTCACTTCTAGTTGTGCTGAACCAACAAAGACTTTGACCACAACCAGGCAGAGATGCCATTTCATGAATATTCAAAGTCAGAAAATCTCAGCTCTTCCAAGGGTCACTTCTATCCTGCCACATTCCTGGCTGCTCCAGTCTCCAGCTGCCTGCACATCTCACCAAGGCTTCCTGTGAGCTCCCTCTCATGGGCTTCTCCCCTTCACTGCCCTCAGAATGAACTGATTTGGTTCTATTTGCTCTGTATTAACATTCAGGTTAAAAATGTACTCAGGGCTCTGGGCGTGCTCCCTGCACCAGCACTGTCCTGCTAATGAGCTGGGTTTTTCTGCAGTTGTTTTCTCTTTTGTTTTCTCCCAGCTCACCTCACCCACCTTCTCTCTACTGCCTGGGCTTTCCTTCATATGACAACTACTGAAACAGCAAAAAAAAGGGCCAGCATTACAAATATTACAAATTAGTGTTTATCCAGCTCACTGTGGTTTCCTAAAACATCTTGTTCTGGGTTTAGGTACAGGCATATAAACAGCTCACAGCACAGCTCCTGGTCCCTACACACACACCAACAAACCCACAGCATCCCCAGACTGGAGCTTGTTATTCCCTCCACAGTGAGGGAAAGAACCAGCTTGGTGAAACCCATCATCCCAACAAACCCCTGGAAATTCTTTCCCTCCCAAGAAAGAGCTCACCCCTCCCTCAGAAAAACCAAAGGGAAATGCATGTTCTGGGAATGAGACTTTATCTAGGCAATATCATGATTCCTCAGAAGGGAATTTTCAGGGGAATGTAGCTGAACAGGGATCTCAAGACAAATTCAGTATTTCTAAAGCAAGTTTGTAACTAATGCCTGAGACAAGTTCTTTTGAGTGTGAGATGTGGCTCAGGATCCTGTTTCCAAACAAAAACCCAGTGAGGTAAATAAAAACCAGTACCGTGCACTCTGTGTGCCAAAGACACTGCAAGATAGCTATTACAACTCAATCAAGGACATACTAGAACTTTGTCTTCCTGTTTAGAAGGTGAAACGTTCCTGTTTTCCCCACCTTGCTTGCCAAAAGTTTCTGTTCTTTCTTATATTTACCTATTTTTCTCACGTATTTCCCTGACAAAAATGGTTCCCACTGCCCATCAGTCATGCATTTCCAGCATTTATTTATGAGTGCTAGTAATGAAAAAAAAAATCAGGATCAAATACTAGTTTGTCTGATTCCACAATACCAACCTTGACCCCAACATAAATATTAGAATCAAGAAACTGTAATATTAGAACAAATCTACTTATCAACTACAACATGGAATTAATTTACTCCACCTAATGAGATCAGAATCTGAGAGCAATTCATCAGGGCAAATCCAAGAGGATTTGGCCCCACCAGGATACTCCCAAACTTCTGAATATAAATATTTTCCCATCAGGATCGTATGGAAATTAAAGCAATTACATTTCCTTTATATTAAAAGTGGCATATAACAATCATTACCTGATTAAAATTTTTGAAATTGAACTCCTTGTAGATGGCATCTCTTTCTCCCAGCTCAGACCAGCCTGAAGCTTTGAGATCCAGTAAAACTTGATTCCTTTCCTCTGTTGTCAACCAGTGAGACTGGGAGGACTATTGAGGGAAAAAATAAAGGCATGGCACAAGTGAGGCTGAGGTTCTCTTTTGTACAACAATAAGAAAACCACACAATGAAATTGTGGTTATGTATGGTGCAAAGGTGAGGATATGGAAAATTCACTGTGCAGTTTCTTACTGTTTATAATTTCACAGAGCAGTTTAACCAAACCAGCCAAACCCTGCCATTTCTGTTTGGGCAGGTAAGTTCCGCAAGTGCTTTTTGTACAAAACTAGTGAAAAGCAACAGACTCCCAGGAATGAGGGCGGACATCAGCATACCTGTAACCTTGGTCATCTGAATTATCCAGATGCTGTAACATCACATTTAATTTCAACATGTTCCATTCGGTCTGGTTAGTAAATGATTATTTACATTATTTGCTAAATGTACAATTATAAGGCTAAAAGATATCAGGAAATACCTATTTCAAAAAAGAAGAAAACCAGGAAATTGTACTCTACCTACTTTGTATTTTACTCCTTTAAGAAAGTGGGAATGGACTTTTAAGACAGCTATGGAGTTCTAAAAGGAACAAAGAGCTTTGTAACTAAATCAAAAGGAAAAAATGTCAATACAGACACAATTACAAAAAATTTGAAGCTACTGGTAAAAGCACTAGATTCTGCAAAGCACCAGTGTTTAAGCACAGCTTACTTGAAGTGACAGGAGCCCTCCTGATGCCACTGAGCACACAGACATGACAGATTAACACCGATTAAATATCTGAATCAGGGGCTGAACCACACACAAGGCCAGAGCCAGACCCAGAGGAACGTTCTGTGGGGCCTTTGGAAGAGGTTTGATTCCTTTGCTAAAAGCAGGGACTAAGAGCATGAGCCCTTAGTCCTTAGTCAGACCACATATTCTGGGAGGGGTCTCAGACCCTCATGGTAAACGCAATGCTTTAGTGGGAATAACCTTTCCCTCCAGTACAGCTACATTCAGATCGGTTCAGTCTTTATTTTAGCAGCTGGCTCAGCTCTGTGAGATCCTGCAGAAGGGCAGTTTTGCCCCAGAGGTTCGCTCGGACACCGAGGGCGCTGAGAGCAGCCCAGCACTCCGCAGTTTCCACCCCTGCCAGCCGCTGCTCCAGCGGGAGCCCCGTGCCACCAGATGGGGCTGTGAGCCCGAGCAGAGCAGGAATTAACGCAATTAATGCGACCTCAGCAAGGCCTCCGGATGCACGAGGGACAAGGAGCAACATTTTCACCAATAACATAGGATAAAAAGCCCCAAATGGAGTAAATCAAACTAACAGCAACACTGCTGCTGTTTGTGTTTAGGGGATACAGAGATGTAACAAGAGATGGGTTTTACAGACCCCAAACTGAACTAATTTAGGCTCTTTACACTTCAAACACAACATTAGGCTTGCAAGAACACAAATTACAGATTTGTCATTGCTAAAACTGCATCATAGGCATAAATTTCTTACAGTCTTCTTTTTTTTTTATTTTTCAAGCATATACAAAAATCACCAAAGCTAAAGGCTGTCTTGAAATGTACTGGTTTTATCTGGCACAAATTTTTTGTGCAAATGCACAAAAAATCATGAGGGAGGTGTTTTTTTTTGAGAGAGCAAAGTCCAGGACTGCTGGACTTCGCTGTCTCAAACACAAAGTCCAGCTGGCACAGAGATGTCCTGTGCCAGCTCTGGGGACAGTGCAGTGCCCTCCTGGCACCTCACCTGACACATGGCCATTGACAAGGCAATGCTGTGACTTGAAATCCGACCACAGAGTTTTTAATGGGAATATGGAGGCCACATTTTACGCAGGCCCTGGTGAACACTGAGCACGTTTCGCATTGTGGAGGCCACGTCCTGAGTCAGCCCCCCTTGACACATCACGATGCTCAGAAACAGAGCAGAAAGCAGCAAGGAAAAAGGTAAAGTGGGAGACTGCAATGGCGTTTCCACACTCAGAGCCCTCAGCAGCTCCTCAGGGCATGGCCAGACCCCAGGAGGCAGGAATGGGCACCGGGTGCCGGTGCTGACCGAGCACCCGAGGTGCTGGCTGGCATGACCGAGTGAGGGATAATGTTTGTTCGGAGGAAGCCCAGGCAAAACAGCCATCGAGTAAAATAAAAAAACAGAACTAAGTCCTGAGGGGTGAGGGTTGAATCCCGCACGTGCTGTTCACTATTAGCCTTGTGTAAAATAAAATGGATGGGATGGTGGGGGGACACAGGGAGAATCACAGAATGATTTGGGCTGGAAGGGATCTTAAAGCCCATCTTGTTCCACCGCTGCCATGGGCAGGTGCACCTTCCACTACCCCGGGCTGCTCCAGGCCCATTGGAATATCACACTTTATCTTTTTCCTTGCCTGGATGAACACTTCCAGGGATGCGGCAGCCACAGCTCCTCTGGGCAGCCAGCGCCAGGGCCTCACCACTCCCACGGGGAAGCATTCCTTCCCGATATCCCATCTAACCTGTGTGAAGCCATTCCCCCGTGTCCTTTCCCTCCACGCCCTTGCCCCAAACCCTCTCCAGCTCTCCCCATGCCCCTTCACGTATCGAACGGCGGCTACCGGGTCTCCCCGGAGGCTTCTCCAGGCTGAGCAATCCCCATTCCCCCCGCTCCGAGGGAGCAGGGCCGGGCCCTGGCCCGAGGCGCGGCCTGCCCGTGTGCCTCCCCTGGGCCCCGCGCCCCGGCCCGGCGCGGTGCCGCTGCCCTCACCATGGCCGCGGGGCTCCCGGCGCCGCC